CATAGTCCAAAACTTTTATAGGTTACAATTTGTACATCGGTCTTAGATCAAAATTTTTGGAGGTCACAGATTATTTTATTGGTCACGAATTAACAAATTATAGGTCACAGATTAATTTTGTAGATCACGGATTATTTTGAAATCACAAATCAATAATTTTATAGGTGACATATTATTTTATTGGTCATGAATCAAAAAATTACAGGTCACAGTTATCTATCAGTCACATTTTTTCAAATTTATTGATTACAGATTAATTTTTAATCACAAATTGTCGAATTTTAAGGTCACAGTTAGTCCATTATCCGATTTTTTTGTGACCAACACCGACTTCTGTGACCACCAACTCACCACTGCTACCGCCGCATCGCCGCCGCTGCCACCACCACAACCACCACTAACACCGACACCTACACCACCACTGTCGGCCACCACATGTACCACCACTTTCTAGATCTTCAACAAAATCACCTCCATCGCCATCACTAGCAATCGCCACCACAAAACTCACCTCCACCACCAGATCCACCATCGCCATTAGGCCTACCACCATAGCCAACAATCACACAAATCATTCACGACCAGATCGTAGATACTGTAGATCACCACCAGATTCGCCAACAGCGCCAAATCCACCGCAAAACCACCTCACCAACAAACTGCCACCAACACCGCCGTCGCCATCACCAACCAACAAACTACAACTACAAAACCAGTAACACAACCACCACCAACAAAATCAATGCACAACCACCGCAAAAAAAAATCCAAAATCTGCACCATCACCACCATTATTTTCATAACGCTAACAATCACCAATAAAAACACCCAAAAAAATCCAGTAAAGCAGTAGATCGGAGAAAGAAACCACCACAAAAATATCACGACGGCTATGATATAGCATCACAGCCTATGAGTTCCGTAGCCCATGGCAGTCTGGTATATTCTTCCCGCACCACCAGAGAGAGCAAATGGGTTGTTTCGTTCAAGCAATTGCAAATCGATTCAAATTACATGAAGTAAACCACCGCACAACGCGATGCTCACAGGCATCGCACACTGTGGCACTCCGGTACTTTTCAGCGGTAATCTTCCTTGTGATAAAGAGAGAAAATGTATGGATGTTGTGTGTAGATGTTATGCGCCGTCTGTGGAGGAGCGAAATCGTAGCGGCGTTCGAGGTTGGGCTGCCGACAGAGAGGGAGGACGTCGCCAGTGAGGGTGGTAGAGAGAGTCGTCGGCGAGGGTGGGTAGAGAGAGAGTAGAGGAGGAAG